GTTCAGTCAATTGTTGAAAGCGTTATCAAGTACATGTAGCATGTTCCGTTTAACGTGACATCGCTGCTATAAATGTCACAATAGCCCTGACTGTAAATGTCGCACTTTCAGTGCCCTGTGTATCACACAAAATCAGGGTCACTTAATGTTGCAATATCACGTTAAATGTCGCAATAAGTTTTATGACACACATGTGACTGTCCAATAAATAAAATGTTTAGTGCTCCCAAAATATCGTGGCTCTTGTGGTGTCATACTCTAAAATTTATGACGTGCACGTAATCTTGTAATGTAAACCCCCTAAGGATGCGCTCCTGAGAAATGTTTTGTGAAAACTTTTTTGCAATGTTTACGCTAATGTTAGAGGAAGCTGAAATACCCGAAATACTTTAACATGTATGTGTTAAACTTCAAGTGCATATGAAAAATATATCGCATTTAGTTTAGAAAAAAAGTAATGATGTGTTTTAGATATTATTCGACAAGCACATTTAAGTCTAGCATAATAAAAAAGACAATTTCTAATAAAGGAATGTACAAGTTTGTTTTGTGTATGTTAAGAACAACTTAAGCATGTAAATAAAAAGTACTGTGAACATAGTATTTTAAAGGTATTATAAGAAAAATATTTACCACTGACCATTAATGTGGAAAATTTAAATAAGTCAGTTAACAGGAAGTGGATGAGTGAAAGACTTGAAATCGAATCCCACAGTATAAGACCATGTGTCAATGCTGTTTGTCAAATATCAAGAGCCTGTGATAAGTAGTTGCTAAAAAATCTGTCACAAAAATTTCCTACCATTGACCATTAATGTTGAAAATTTAACGGTAAACGGGGCTTGGTGAGCGACAGACCTGAAATCAAATCCGACGGTAGGGGACCACGTCAATATTGTATACCAAATATCAAGAGGCTGAGATAAGTTGGTATGGAAGACAAAACTATGAAACTACGAACATTTGTTTACATAAATTCCATAAATAAGTTCAAGGTGGGGGGTTAATTCTGGAAATAGTCATGCTTGTCACACAACATATGTGTAATGATAAGAAATATAAACAAGAGGGCCATGATGGCCCAAAGTCGCTCACCTGTATATAGGCCCCCGGAGCAGGGCCAGTTTAAACCCCAGGGCTTTTATTTGAACAAACTTAGTTGACACCCATTAGAAGATGTTTCATGCTAAACATCTAAGGTCTAGCTTGTTGGGTTTTTTAAAAGAAGATCTTTTCAAGTTTTTTTCTTTACACATATAGTTAAAACAATGATACACCTGGGGCAGGACCAGTTTTGATCCCAGGGCTTTTATTTGAACAATCTTTGTAGACACTTACTAGACAATGTTTAATGCTTAATATCAGAACTCTAGCTATTCAGGTTTTTTCGAAGAAGATTTTTAAGTTTTTGCTATACACATATAAGGAAAATGAATGACCCCCGGGGCGGGGCAATTTTGACCCCAGGGCTTTTATTTGAACAAACTTGGAGGACACTCACTAGAAGATGTTTCATGCTTAGTATCTAAACTCTAGCTATTTGATTTTTTCATCAAAAAAGATCTTTCAAGTTTTTGTTATATGCATGTAAGGAAAATGAATGACCCCCGGGGCGGGGCCAATTTTGACCCCTGGGCTCTTATTTGAACAAACTTGGTAGACATCCATTAGAACATATTTCATGCTAAATATCTTAGCTCTAGCTCTTTACATTCTTTAAAAGAATTTTTTAAAGTTTTTAATATATGCATATAGGGAAAATCAATGACCCCCTGGGGCGGGGCCAATTTTGACCACAGGGCTTTTATTTGAACAAACTTGGTAAACAACCATTAGAAGATGTTTCATGCTAAATATCTTAGCTCTAGCTCTTTGGGTTCTTTAAAAGAAGATTTTTTTAAGTTTTCACTATATACATATAGGAAAATCAATGACCCCCAGGGCGGGGCCGATTTTAATTCTAGGAACAAAATTAGAACAAGTTTGGTTTTGGACCTATAGGTGATACCATAGACCAAATATCAAAGCTCTAGGCCATTTACTTTCAGACCAGAAGATTTTTCAAGTTTTCAATATATGTATGTAATGAGAATCAATGACCCCCCGGCCATTATTTGAACAATCTTGATATAGGTCTACTACACAATGTTTCATGCCAAATATCTAATCTGTAGCCTTTGCCAAATCAGAGAAGAAGATTTTTTTAGATTTTACTATATACATATAAGGAAAAACCTATGACCCCCCAGGGCGGGGCCAATTTTGACATTAGGGACAAAATTTGAACAACTTTGGTAGAGGACCCATAGATGATACCATTTACCAAAAATCAAAGCTCTGGCCCATGTACAGACAAGAAGATTTTTTAATTTTGTGTTTTTTGAAATCCTTTTCTGGCCCTATGACCTACATATGCAACAGACCGGAACCATTTAAACAACTTTGAAAGGGACCACCCAAGGATCATTTCTGTAAAGTTTGGTCGATGTGCAGTCATTGGTTTCAGGGGAGATGTTGTTTATGTTAAAAGTTGACAACGCACGAAGACGGACACAGGGCCATCACAAAAGCTTACCCTGAGCATTGCTCAGGTGAGCTAAAAAGTAAATTAAATTACTTATAATACTAGTATTTCTTTTTAAAAAAGTTCAAAGGGATATTAACCAGAAAATATTGCTTTAAGAGTAAACTATGAACCTAGTCACATAAGATGTTATTGATGATAAGGAATATGTATTTGAAGTAAGAGGTAGATGCCATTGAAACTAAAAAAGTCATAGTAAAAAATAATATTTTTCAAGTAAAAAAATCTAAGTTCATGGGGAGGTAATTCTTGCAATATTGGTGCTAGCGGTAACAACCTTGTCACATAACATTTGGTTAATGATAAGGAACATATATTTGAAATATGAAGTTGATCCCTTAAGAAATAAATAAGTAGCAGTAAATAATAGCTGTCGGTAGGACAGCAACGCTCTACCATTCTAAGTGCTTGATAGAAAAAGAGCCTTGGTAATGTTAAATATTAACAAAAGGGCCAAATTTTCCTTTACATCCATGTTACTGTTATAGGCCTTGAAGAGAGTCATATTATGCTCTCAAAGAAAAGTATAAAATTTCAACTTGTTTCTGGCCAGATGTCAATAGTATATGAAAATATCTGAGGTGGTATGCAAACTTAAATTAAATAACATAAAATCTAAGTCAGAAAAAGGGCATAATTCTGTCAAAATGCTTGATCCAGTTATCTCCTCCTGTTTACAGGTTGGGGTCATGATGGTGAACAAGTGTGCAAAGTTTCAAAGCCATATATCAATAGACTTTGACATTTGAGATATTACAAAAACTTTAACATAAGTTATTACACCTACGCTGACACAGACGCCGACAACAACACTGACGCACTGGTGTATACAACAGCTCTACTTTTTCTTATCGAATAGTCGAGCTAAAAATAACTTTTTTAGGAAAATTTAAGAGGAGATAAATTTGAAAATATTGGTGCTAGAGTAATGAACATTGTCACATAAGATGTGGTTGATGATAAGGAACATATATTTGAAGTATGAAGTTGATCCCTTAAGAAATAAGGAAGTAACGATAGAAAATAAAAAAAATTAAGTAAAATTCTAAGTTCAAGGGGAGATAAATCTGAAAATAGTGGTGCTAGAGTTATGAACCTTGTCACATAAGATGTGGTTGATGATATGGAAAACCAAAACTTAAATCTGAATAAGGACGCGGACGCTGGGGCAAGTAGGACGGCTCTCCATATACTTTGTATAGTCTAGCTAAAAATGAAAAGTAAGAAAGTGTTTTATGCAGTAAACATTAATATAAATATAAAAGTGATATGGCACTTTTTGCACTAAGAAGCGAGGAATGATATTTTATCTTTTCTTGCATCCTAAATCTATAGTAAATGCTCATACCTTTCTTGCCTATTAAATGTATGGTATTGTACCTAACAATATTGCTTTAGCAATGATGTTCCAGGGTTTTCACATGTTTGTTTACACAAAATATCCATACATATATCTAATTTCTATTAAATACATATATGCATTAAACTTTATGCTTTAAACAAAAAAATAGAACTTTTTACAACATTACCATTAGACAGGATTAATTTTGACCCCAGTGACACTACTGAAGTTTTCCAGATTGTATGTAAATGATAAGCAGACTGGAAATCTATACACCTGACAATCTATTTTCCTTTCTTCGAATTTTTCCATGAATATGTGACCATAAGGCTTGGAATTTTTTTAACAACATAGCAATATTCTGAGGTATCCAATGCATTTCTCTGCTTAACTTCAGCTAGAAACTTGTTAAAAGAAAGTTTTTCACATATTTCCAATACAATTTAGGTGAAACATGTAGGTCCACTGGCATTCAGGGTTTCCATTAAGATCCAAAATTTGGAAGTAAAAGACTGCAAAATGTCTTGACATTGGAAGTAACAAAATATTGGTAAAGAAGAAAAAAGCATTACATTTTGGAAGTCACAAGCCAAATTCAAGGAGTGAAATGACTCACAAACTTCCATTAATGGAAGCCCTGCCATTACTATGAAAATGGTAGCCTGATGTTCATTTACAAGTGTTTATACCTTTATCATTCAAACAAAAAGTTTCTCCAAAAATTGTGTATTTCTCATCTAAACAAACAACTCGGCACATTTCAACATCTTACAGTTCACATATATTCGTCTTACATGTCCACAGATATATATACAATGGATAGGAAGCTCAGAAAATAGTTGATAGTCAGATTCAGATCCACAGTGCGATTCGGTGATAATCGGGTTTTCCCACTAGCCCCCGATTCTCGCACTTTCGTTAAACTTCGGCGATATCCATGAACTACTGTTTCCGTTGCCGACATTGTTTTTTTTTTAGAAATATCTGTGTGGAAAAGTGTGTATGGTACATTTTAACATAAATAACTATTGCTTCTTATGTAAGTAGAAAATGCTTCTTCTTTTTTTTTGTCAATGTTCCTCTTGGAATTGAAAATGGCGGTATTTTGGCTATTACCCAGGATGCATCAAATCTTGGAAAATCCCGAAACACATGATAACTTGCACTAGAACAACCCCAATAATACTGAATTTAACTGTATGACGTGTAAGTTACTTCTCCATCTATATTAAGCTCCATGACATGTCCAATCAATCAGTAAATCAATAAGTTGATTGATCATTAGAACATTCAATCAACAATCATAAATCAGAGAATGAATCATCGAGTCAATGAAATCGAGGAAATCAACACTCTGAAATTAAACAAATTACATCAACATAAAAATAGAGTTAAATCAATTTCCTTTGTCTGAAATGCATAATTATCATTTAAATAAAAACCTCCAAATTTATGGTCAATTACAATAAACCCATTCACACTTTCTATATGATCTACTTAAATAACCGAGGTATATCAAGTGAAAAAATACGAGTTACTTCCCTTATCTTCGAGTAAAATTGATATCTCTTATGCTTAAACAAAACCGCTAGTTTGTTCTGATTAAATGTCCGCTTTTAAAATGTATTACACCAATAGCAAACGTTGGATATTAGCTTCATCACAGTATATTCTTCAATACATCTTTTGACTCCACAGAGTATTCAAATGAACAGTTAACCCTACCACATGTCAGACCATTTTACATACAATTTATATAGTGAGAAAACAACCGGTTATCTTTATTCCAAAAACTACTGATAAGAAAAGCCTCTCGTCTGCTAGTTCTGAAAGTGTTTATCGTGTATTAAATATTTACAACACATTGAACAGCTTACTTTACCTGTAGGTATATTAACTTATAATATAGCTATAGCCTCTCGTCTGCTAGTTCTGAAAGTGTTTATGGTGTATTAAATATTTACAACACATTGAACAGCTTAATTTACCTGTAGGTATATTAACTTATAATATAGCTATATGCTTTATATTGGCCGCCACAATCATAAGTTCATTTAATGAAGTTATTATAAAATACATCATAATCATAAATAAATTCTAAACTCACCAGTTTGTGGAATTGAATGTACCAATAAAAGCATTATCTTCTTCAAACACGCATACTGTCAAACTCTCTCTCTCTCTCTCTGCTGTAACTTCTGCAAAATATAATAAACACAATGTGCAAAGTGATATGAATAAATTGTGAGATTCAGTAAACAGAGAGCTAGATTAACGGATTTTTCAGAAAACAATTCTCAAAGGTTCCAAATCACGAAAACTGATGACATTTCAAATCAGACCACACTCGTTACTTAATTAAAAAATCATCTATGACATACACTCTATAAAACACTAATTTAAACCAAATGCAACTCAAAATAATACTGACCAACTATCAATAATCCATATTTCCAATAAATTAAGAACACTTTGAACTTTTTACAAACAAAGCCGCTTAAACATAGACAAAACTAGTGATATTGCGGGAAAACAAGGGAAACAACTCAAACAACAACAAAAAATATATCAAGACACCTGAATTATCAACACTGTTACACATCATGAAATCCAAATAAGAATTCCAAAACAGATTACATTAAGTTCAAATAATATTGGTAAGTTTTCTGTACCTACTTTTAGAAAATGATGAGATCAGCTTTCACATACAAATATAGCGTCGAAAACTTTGTTTTGGTACGAACTACTTCCTTACGCAAAGTTAACGCGAATGAATACTAATGATATTTTTTACTGATTATATCCTGAAAACATAGAACGATAGAAATAACACAATCAAAAATGAACTACTGACAATTCAAAATCTTATCACTTGTGTGTGACAAGAAAATCTGTGTAGAACTACTTTGCGTTGTTCGGTACCCATTCTTCTATTGAAATCCCGCAAATTGTGATAGAACTGTATTCACTGCTAACGCAGCGAATACAAAAAATAGATGGCCATATGACAGCAGTAATTGCATAAAATAGGATAGCTTTCAACATCCGGATACTGGTACACTTTGTAAAAACAATCATTCTGTGCAACAGATAAACGTAATATGGATAAAACTAATAGGATATTCGTTTACAACAGTTCATTACCTATCCTAATACTCATTTGCAGGTGCACTTTCTTCTTGTAGAAAAAAATGAAAATATATAAATCAATGAATGATGGATACGGCATCAATGTAGACCACAACGATATTCGAAATCCGGGTTTTAGTAACTAAGGGCCAAGCTGTTAAACTAAGCCTGCAATTTCGTGAAAATAATATTACAATGCACATGCTTTTTGCATAAAGTTATTAAATACAAATATAACAACATATTTGTTTACTTATTTTTTACGAATCAAAATAAAACTAATTAACACAACAGGACATTAACTGATAATAATAACAGCTCCTTCCATAGGCCAAAATAAAAAGCATTCCATAAAAGACGACGCCGCTCACCGGCGTCGCCAATCATAAATAGGTTTATTATGTAATGTTATTACACACTATAATTTTCTAAAGTAGTATTAACCATGTTACTCTCCTGCGCATCGGTCGAATGTACCACTATCGCTCACTGTATGAAGTAACTTGAGTGTATTCAGCGAGCTGCGAAGGAAGCGTATAATCATGTTAAACAGGTTTTGAATACAAAAAAGACTTTAAGATCGTCTGAAATTAAAGAGATTCGGAATCTTCTATTTGACTGCGTGTAAAAAGTTACTCCCTAGGCAATTCAGCGGTTGTAGAATATTAAAATAAAGAAGAATTAAAAAAGACTATCGATTGTCGCCGATTGTTGGGTGGTCCGATTAGTTATCGATTTTCAAAGACAATTGGGACAACACTACTTGGGACCCTCGGAATATCGTACCGCGGCTCTATGTACTAAGCTATCCGGCCTCTTACACATTATTTCCACTAATAAGTGAACAGTTCTGAACCGTGACATATGTCTCTTTTATTTAATACACATATTGGTATACAAAATTAAGGACAAAATATTTTGCTGCTTTTTCAAGTAGCGTTTTAACCATTTAGCAATGACTTTAAAATTTGATAATATTAAATATAGTTTTGAAGTGACTATGGTTTTATTTTGTTTTATACTCGCATGTCAGTCTGCGTCATTCACATTAAGGCAATATACTAGATATACTTTTTTATACCAGCTTTTTGGAAGCATGCTTTATCAAATTCAAGATTAAATGTTTACAGAAGATATATAGCAAATAATAAATCATAATGAACAAAACATTATCTACCGGACTTCCTTAAAAACACTTCGTTTTATTGTAATCACATCTTCAACATACATGTATGATATATCGATATAATAAGATCGGTCCGAGCGGTGTTTATCGTTTATTTAAGACCGGTTTGGAGTTTGGATGCGCAGAAAAACAGATCCCACACGCTATTTTGTTCAAGCGGAGATGATTTCCGTATTTAGCAACCTATTGTCGCTAATTAAACAAAAGAAAATGAGATGAAAATATTTCACCTTACATTAAAAAAAATAAAATATTTTATCAATTTTTCAACAAATTCAACAAATAAAAGAGTTACTTTTGCGACTGCATCGATTATTATATTTACGTCGGTGCTCCACGAGTCAATTTTCATCACCCGACTCGATCGGATCATCTCGGCTATTATCAATAATCACTTGCTAAGGATCGAAAGTAGTTCTACCACGTGGTTGAAGATGGAGTGTAATTTTTAATAATGTGTCATGAATGTAAATATATTTGATCCAAAGGAAAATAAAGTCTGCTTTAGTAGAATATGATATGATTGAACAATCATAATCAATTTTAAAATGCTCATGTATAAGCTTAGTTTATTAGTTTAGGTTAGATATGGCCATAGCTGACGGTATAGAATAATTTTACTTTTGTCAATTTTTTTTCTTGTTTTTTTTTTTCTTTTTATTATTTATTTGTTTTTTGTTTTCTGTATACTAATAATGTTTAAATTAAATCATAAATTAATAATAAGAATCATTTTGTATATAAATACTGAAAGAGTTATACATAGACGGAAAATGTAATAAATTGTGTGAAACTTTAATATACAATGTAATAGAAATATTTCAGATGAAAATGATCTTATGTTGACATTTAAAAGATTAAAAAAATCATTGTTTATTACTAAAAGTAAAAAAGAGAAACGAAATATATTCATAGATCGTCATCAGTGGTTTTATTGTTTTGTAAGATGTATAATTTATTATATTACTAACATTGTAAACAAAGATACATGTAATTAGAAATTTACGTCTACACATAATTTTTTCTATTTATCTAAAATAAGTGGTCAACAATTTTCACTTTAAGATTAACTTAACAGCAGATCTTACTACAATGTATAAGTTTAATTGGTCAGCATATTGTACTATAGCCAACTGACTCCGCTGGTGGACATAGTGAGACAATGTGTTTCAATGTTGAAAAACACATCTATCCATTATATTTAATCCGGAAAATTCGTATTGTTTAGTTTTGTTGTTTGTTGTTTTTTTTGTTTTTTTTTAAGGGAAACATGCAAAATTCGAATTACCAACTACCTGCCGGTAGGTAGTGGGGGATTCAGAATAACCAACTACCAGCTAGTAGGAAGTAGGTTATTCGAATATCCAACTACCAACTACCTATCAAATTGACGCTTCTTCAGATTTTTATCAATATCTAAGATCGAGCCATTTTTGGTGCTTGATGAACATAGCGCTTTTATATTTCTTAGAGATAATTAAATAATAAAAAAAATGATAAAAGATATACTAGATTTCTGTGTCCACTTGTTTTATATATAGCCAAAGTGATTTTAGCTCCACCTTGAGAAACTGCTTATGAACAGAGGAAAATGATATTAACAGTGAAGTTTTAATTTATTTTGCAATGTTAGTAAAAATTGGTTTATGGTTTATGCCATATTTTCTTCTTATACTATATGGTCAGCAGACTTAACATACGGTGCCTTAGGAACACATGTATACTAGAATCTGCTGACCAGTTTACCAATTCCCGCATAAGCAGTTTGGGAAAAATGGCTGGTTATTTCCTTTGTTTGACGAATACTATTTTGCATTTGTTTTTTTCAAAAACTGTTGAAGGTATTTATTTCAATGTTGACTATTAAGGGCAAATAATTTGATAAGCATGTTTGCAGAGCACTGTCCCGTATTCTATGTCGCTTTTATCTTATTTTCCATCACTGAGAAAAACAAAGCGTGCTGTTGATGGTTTTCTTATTTATTATTTTATCATTGACGTAAAACATTTTAGAGTTGTAAGTTTATAATAGTTATTCCTTTTTTTCTTCAGGAAATGTCATTTGAACAAGTAATGCTATTGCAAAGTCGAAGCGTTGAACATCTCCTTATATTTTATTCCAACAAATTTCATATGTATGGTGAAACACACAGACTAACAATTCATAACGTTTTATTCTAAAGTTATATGGCGTATCATTTTAAGTTCTTTATTTTCAAACAGTTGTTGTTAACGTGATCGAGTAGCGTGTAAGATCGGAATATGTTGAAGCAAAGTCGCGTCGCCTCTTATGTCGCATCTGAATTTTTGAATTTAATTGTTGCATGGTTGACGCTAAATGTTGCAACAATCGCTAAAAGTCGCCATAAACCTTGTGGTAAATGTCGCAATTTCACACAGTCTGGACTTTACGTAAGACATCCCTAATGGTCACTATTAAGAACTGTAAAATTGACAACATAGGACAGCTATATGTCCTAAAAGATACCACTTTATATATATAAAATGTTACCATGCCCCACCCATTTTAAACTTAAAAAGCCTTATTCTAAATATCCCTAAAATGAACAAAAATAAGAGGCTGTTTCCAAAGTAAGTCTGAATTTTCTTATTAATAAAAGTATTTTGGTTGATCTTGCAAAGAATCCCGGACAATCCCCCTCCCGGACGATTCCCCTTCCATATTATTTTCACAACCCGGACATTTCCCCTCTCGTTATTTTAATAGGGTGGACTTTTCCCCTCCCGTTAGTTTTATGGGACGGACAATTCCCCTCCCGTTATTTTAGCAGAGCGGACAATTCCCCTCCCGTTTTTTCACAGAGCGGAACGTGACATTATACGGCCTTTAATCATAGCCGCCACTGTGTATAAAAAAATAAATAACCATTCTTATTAAAGATGAGAGTTTTTTCTCTTTACAACAAACTGTTAAAGATCGGAACTTTTAAGAAGCATTATTTCACAAAAGGTGACATTATACCGCCTTTAATCATTGCCGCCGCTGCTTAAGATGAACAAACTGTCAATAAAAAATCATTAATCAATGATGCCCTTAATTAAATGTGTCCTTGATTGCAAAACCAATTATTTACAATTATTTTACCGCTGCAGAAATCACGGTGCATATCCATATCGGTACCCTTTTTGCGAAATCTGCTCAAACGGTACCCTCTTTTAACACGCACGTGTGAAGTTGTAGTACATGAAAATCGGGTACATGACAAATCAGCACATAAATAAAACATTCTAGTGTTCCGTGGTATACATATTTTCTACATGTCATACCTCCTTTCCTTATTACAATGTAATTTTACTGGATTGTTATCCATCGCTGGTTTGTTTTTAGCAGAGAATGACCTGTGCATGTTCAAAGAGGGTACCGTTTGAGCAGATTTCGCAAAGAGGGTACCGATATGGATATGCACCGTGGAAATCACGGATGTAATATAAATCCGTGGTGGAAATGTATTGACGAAATAAAGATTATTTTAACAAAAAATGCGTTA